GATGAGTAGTGTATGATGAGTGGTGTGTGATGAGTGGTGTATGATGAGTGGTGTATGATGAGTGGTGGTTGAACAGCTGTTGAATGTCCGTAACACGGAAGTTTTGCACACTAAACTTCCTTTGACAATACCCCCAGTCCCGGGACTTCCACAGAACTTCCTCCGCCCGCGCCTTCTGCAGTCCTAAGCCCAAGGGGTTCCGCTGCGGCGCTTTGGTTGGCGCCTCCGAGCCGCCCACGCACACCTGCTTGATGGCCAAGAGGTAGCGCTCCTGGCCGCGGAACCCGCGCAGCGGAACCGAGAAGGAGAAGCACTGGCAGTCGCTCCAGTGGAGAGTTGGACTCCAGTCTGCTGGGGAGGGCGGCAACAGCTGATTCCCTGCCCTTGTTGGTATAAAGGACTTCCTTTTCGGATTAGGTACGAAGTTCAGAAGGACTCCAGTGCATATCGGATGATACCGGGTGGAGCTTGGATGGGCCAATGGATGAGAATTGAGAGGCCTATTTTGGGTGATTGAGATTCCATGGCCTACGCCTCCCAAAAGAACTGACCTTTCAAACAACATTGTCGCTTTGAAACTTGGGAAGTTTGGCGGATGAAGTTGGGTCGATGCTCATCATCGTTGCTCTGGGGTGAGCCAACGTTTAGCATGAGCCATGTAACCATGGCTCATCTTTGTGCGACCAAGTGCCCAACATTAGGCGCACACACACGCATAAAACAAACCATGAGTCCACAACATCGATTCATAAGCAACACCAATGTTCAGTGTGAAGGCGATTTAAGTATTTTAATATATTTTAATGATTGACATGATTTCGATTCAAAAACGAAACTCTTTTTGACCCATGTGGACATCCCTACCCATTTATTTGAGATGCTTTATGCCAGTATTGTTCGGCCCGGCGCTCCATCGAGGCCCGGCGCTTCTCTGCGGTGTTGTGCACGTTGACGGCGCGCCAGCGTCGGGTGGTCTGTCCGTTGAGAAAGCGGGTGTACTGCCTGACCAAGGTGGTGAGGAGGTGAAGTGAGTGCAGCAAAGCAACCGTGCCTGGGGTATGTTGGGATAGTCGAACGTGCTAGGGTTCTTCAACCTCCGTTGGTAGATGGCCCAGGCTTCCAATAGGATTATTGGTTCCGGGATGTTCCGGGTGTATTTGAGGTTGCGCTTTCCAAGAAGAATGTTGTTCACAGATCTGTTCGCATGGGATGGGTGGCTCGGCCGCTTTCCGCGCTACCTGATCACTCCCCATCTCTCCCTCTCTCTCTCTAAAGGAGTCAATGAATGCAGGAGAGTTAGGGAGGTGGTGCTCTACAAATGATGAAGCCAATGCAGCTTCTGGCAGAAGCCAGCCCGGGCGGAAGGCCTCCGCACCAGTCGTTTTGGTTCTCGGCCGAGTGGCCAAATGTAGATCATGAACATGGTCTCTGCCAAAGACCAGCTAATCAGGCCATATTTCACCAGCACTCGTGGATGGAAGTGGTGGGGGCTCACGTTCATCCACAAATTTCTCAGCCTCCACGCGGGCCGATTCGCGCACGAGTCTTACGTAGGGTGAAAGGCTGTTTCCGTTTCCTTCATCCACATGGAGGAGGGGTCCCCATATCGAAGGAATTCCCAGGCAGAACCCCTGATAGGCATGGGTTTTGGGACTATTTTGATTTCGTTTTTAAAGTGCACCTTGAAAATTGCAGATCGGTCACCGTTTTCCCTAACAAAATAACTTCGACCTCGAGTCAGGGAAGATCGTTGAACTCTGCTGACTGGGAGGTTTTTTCTGGCCTGACTGGGACCTATGACCATAAATAATACATATTGTTCACTATTGGATTTCTCAAAATGCAATCTACAACAAATCAGGTCTGCATGGTTTTGCCACACCAACAACTGGGCCACATCGGGGGCACTCCAACCGGCAAACCACCATGCGCCTCGACCACAGCAGTTGCAAGGTCATGAACTTACAGAGTCGAAGAGAAAAGAACGAGACTGCTTTTGAAAAGGTCGAACGTGCGAATGAGACTTTTGCGGTATATAGATGTTGCAAGCCACGCAAGCCAAATGAATTCTCTAGCAGAAGTTCCACCAAAATCACCTGCAGTGAACTGCTGCTCCACCTGCCACTTGCCCACTGCCAAACAGACCGCCTTCCCAAACACACCGCCTTCCCAAAAAACACTGCCTTCCAACCAATCAGGCAGGTGGCAGCACAGAGACCGCCATTGGTGTGGACACACGCAACGCCAAGATCACCAGCTGCACCAGGAGACGTCGCAAGGGACTTTCACGGCTCATGGCCTCGCTTGACGTGCCGGCTTGCGCCGTGTGAGGACAGTCCCCAGAGTCAGTTTGTGCCTCACTACGGAATGTGGCGCCCCGTAGGCTGCATGGTTTGCTATTGAAACAGATCTGGCACAAATGCCCGTGTCCCGCACCATTGTTGTTTCAAAAGCATCATCCTGAAAAGCCTATTTTTTCCTCCACCCGCCATGGACCAGGCCCGAAGGCAACTGTCCTCAACCCAAAAAATGGTCTCCTTTTGACGCCAAGAACCATCTGATTTCGTGTTGCACTGAGGTGTTCCACGTTCCAACCACGTTCTACCTCTTTCTCGGACTCCATCTCCACTAGCTTTTCGGTGCCCAGCGACCCCCAACAGCGGCAAGGCGACCAACGCCAGTGCTCCACGGGGTGGCGAGGCCAATGCCTCTGTGCTGCGAACCGGCGCGGCCGCACACTGCGGTATATCATACCAGGGCCCAGCGGCGCGGAGGATGGGGCCTAGTTGCAGGCCTTGTTCTATAGACTGTCACAGGCTTCCTGGGGCAAACCCAACATTTAGTGAAGGCCTTCACCTGTGGACGGCCAACGACGCGAAAGAATCCATACTCAATTCGATCCAAGCCTTCACCGAGTCATGTGTGAATTCGACTCACGCGCATGGACCATAGTCGTGTTGTTGCGTTGTAAGCTTGTGGGCCATATGTCCCATGGATCGTCGAACAAATATAACGATCAACACGTTCTTAATAAGTCAGTCTCCTTAAGTCTCCCAAAGGACCCTAGTGGTTCCACTATAGCTCACTGGGAGTCCCATGCAGTGGTTCCAGCTCGACTCAAACCGACCGAACGCATCGGTGACGCCCTTGGCGCCTGCGGCCATCCACGTGGAAGTCCACCAGGAGTCATCATGGTGTCAAGTGAGGTCACCAAAGAGGGAAGGTAGGTCAAAACGTCTTAAAGAGTTGTCAGTGCAGTATAAAGGAGTTCCAAGATCTTTGTCTGACATACTTAGGAGGTGAGTGGTAAAAGGATGTTTGAAGGCCCTGGGCCCTGGGGAGCTATTTGGGTCCAAAGGAGTCGGTTTCACATCCAATATGTCTTGAGATGTCTTGAGAGAGGCCGAATACGTCCAGCTAAACTTGTCGTGTTGTGGGCACTTTTGGGGCACATCTTCGAGTGGATTGGCTTGATCCTCATTCTCCTGTCCATTGAAAACATCATCGAACAGCCCATCGCTATGTTGCTGGACAAAGGTGTGTGCTCAAAGACTCAAAGCTCTCCATCATGTCCTGCCTCTCTCTGTTCCTCTTTTACTGTTGCCAGCCAAATGTTCCCGACGCGCGCAGTTGAACCCCCCGTGGTCGCGTAGGTCACCCAGTGCTGCAAGCCTTTCCCCGTTGGCAGCGTGTTGGTTCCGATTTCTGCATTCTACATAAGACCTGAGTGATGGTAATTCCAAAAGTTTCCAAACGCCTCCAAAAGCCAAATCCAGTTCGCAGTTCGATGCCGAAACCACTCGCGACACGTGGCCGGAGTCCTCACGAACCCGCCACCAGTGACGTTTTTTCATCCTTCAGACGAGCTGTTTCGCCTTTGCATCTCGGCAGCTGTGGCTCAAATGGAATGACAGTTGCCACTGGCAGATGATGAACTGTGCAAAATCCACGAACTCACGAGCAGCCACGGCCCCGGCGTTCAACAAACATGCATTCACGGAAGTAACAGGTTCTATGAACTCTGGTCCACACTGGGCCTGTCCCACTTCTAAGCGTAGGCAACTTGTATTCAACCATAAGGTATCCAAACATCGCGTACATGTCAAACCACCACATTCGTCCTCATCGACTCCTGTCACCTTTCGTTTGAGCCACAGGGCTTCCTACCACCCGTGCCACCCTGCAGGGGAAGCTTCCTGGGCACGGCCTTCCCACACGGCTTCGGTGGGAAAGGCCGCCCGCAAGCGCCGCAAGCGCTGGCGGAGGGCGACCACGTCGCCCGTCTTGGAAGTTCTATAATCGGTTCTACAACCGTCGTTCACTGTTGAATCACTTCTGAAAGCCTCCCCGGGAAAATCTCTATCAAAAGCCTCAACTCAGGTTTCACCTGGCCCTCCAAATCCTGAATCCTCTCATTTGCTCGTTGAGTTTGTTGTTTTCAGACTCTCTTCATGTCTTCATGTTCCTGCAGTTGGAGTAATAAAAGTCAATCCGCATGCGAGACCTATGTTCTGACTCGATGCAAACAAAGAATTGCCCTGTTCCACCCATTTCAGGCGTGCCAATGATGGACGGCTCAACTTGCAGTCTTCTACTCATATGAGACACAGCCAACTCTGGTGCAAAGAAGTTCTGATCAGCTTCCAAGGCCATCCATTTGAATTAGTTCTGACAATCCGACCGGTCTGCACACCATGCTGCCGGTCTGGCGGTCCGTAGCACATTGAAAGATCTGAGTAAAGGAAGGGGGCTTGGCAGACACTCCAGTCGACACTCCATGGGACTGGCATATTTTTACCCCCATTCACCCCTGAAACCACCCCAATAAGCAAATGATGCCCCTGAACTAAGTGTATGTATATCCTCTCATGCTTCCTGCCTCCACGCAAAAACGCCGAGACCCCAGCGAAGAAAAATGCCACCGAAGACATGGATTTTGTTGAAGAAACAATTGGTGTACATTTCCTAGGATCAGCCTGTGCATTTGCGGCCCTCCATGGTGCGCAGTTTCCACAGGTGGCGGGGACTCCACATATCGCTGGGCCATTGGTGCCGGAGGATTGGCGGGGAATGAGCGGGCCTGATATGTGTGTTGTTGCACCTCTGGGGTTTCACACTCCTTGGAATGATCATGGTTGGCATGGATGACATGGCAAGATGATGTCCAATCCTCGAGAAAGCTCCACTTATTCCATGGTTATTTTGATATTTGAGGGACTGTACCAATTCTTTGGGCGCCTGACATGTCTCCGCGTCGCGGCAAACACAAAAAACACTAACGGGCTGATGGATTTGCGAGATTGAGTGGAAGTAGGGGTCCGGTTTCGTCCTTCAACTCGTGGCATCCCACCTCCAAAGTGGCCAAGATCCGTCTGAATGTAGCTCGATGATCGGCACTCATCACCTTTTTTCTGAAGCTCCGGTTTCAGCGGGAAACTCTAAATGGACCCCCTGCTTCATCTGGAACCATTGGAAAGATATCCTAAGTTTTTGCCCCAATTCTGCTTCAATCCTCCGACTGGATCACTAAACAGGGCCGAAGCGCACGGTGGAGCGAGCCAGGTTCGCTTCGCCCGTGGACGCGCGTGCGTCCACGCACGGACACGCGTGCGTCGAGCGCGGTGCACATGAAAATGGAAGAATGGGGTATCAAATTGGGTCGATCCAGGTGATTGATGAGTCTCATCACCTTTCCAGGTGGATCGTCCTCATCTTTCCAGGTCAAGAATGGAGCCTCTTTCCTTTGCATGCGTGAAAGGTGAGGTGTTGACAACCGGACGTGAGGAAAAAACAACAACCGTTTTTCAGTGGGTGGGATAGGCCCTTGAGGTCTTCTCGCTGCTACCTGATTGGTGCGCCCATGGAAGAATGTCATTACTTCTTTCCTGTGAAGATATGGATCCCTTGGGCCCCTTCAGAAAAAGGGTCTCACATCATCAACTCCATCTCAAAGCCCTCCATCGACTCCATCGTTTATCTGGAATTCTCCCATCTCCATGTTCATCCCAAGTTTGCCCCATTTGGGCTGTGGGGCACCTCCAGCGCAAGGTGACGCCCATCTGTGACGCCCATCACCATGGTATCGGGACAGTGTTTGATCATGTTTCATCCAAAGCTTGGCATCGGTCATGAAAGGAATTGTTAGATTGGTTGTTGAAACCATGCGAACCAGCTCAGTCAGTGGTTTCTTGGCGTCGTTGTGCGATCCTCACCGTGTAGGTCTCATGGAAGCCATGCGATTCGGTGGTGCAACGCAAAGATCCACGAACTCTTGTTTTAGGGCAAATCACCGACAGTTTTGCTGGTCACATCTAAGGCGACAGCAGCTGGAGCAAAAAAGGTTGATGTTTCAAACAGCATTTGGAGACGCAGCCAGTTGGTCTAACATGCGAGGACTCAGCACCAAATCCCATGCGCAGAACCTTCACCAAATAGACCCGGGAACAAGAAGTTCTACATGTTGTTGGTGCCTTGTCTGGCGAGTTTGGGTGGCACCCCTTTGTTGGCATAGCCACATGCAGGGATGGGTTGAGTGCGCCGAACCTTGGCAGCCAAGACCACCCAGTTCCAATGCCCATTCAATCATAAACATAAATTTCAAAACATACAGCCCTAGGCTTCCAACCACTATTAAATTAATAGGCTTTACCAAATCAACTAGGGATTTTACACTACAAAAACCAGGTCAACCATTTTCTAATGGTCTTGGAAGTCTAGGGTAGTAAACATCAGAAGAATGGGAGGTGGGGGTCTATCATGGCCACACTCATGGCCACCCTTCTGCTCAACGTGGCTGGCACTCTCCATTGACCGCCGTGAGCTTTCAAACTCCGGAGGTCATGGTGACCCGTAGTCGCGAGGCTGAAAGCCTTCAGCGTCGAAAGACCTCGGATGGGGTGGGACAGTCGGTGTGTCAATCGAGTTTTTCTGCATTGGATTGGATGGGACCCAGATGTGCTTGCAGGCATCCACCATGGAGGTTAAATACTGCGTGTGTGTTTTGTTTTTTTGGGGGGGGATCATGGTCAAATGGAGCACATCGGAAGTTCAACGCCTTTATTCTAACTCTTCTAAAGCCCAAAAAGCATGACCAGGAGGATGAGTTTCCGGAGGACTTGACTGGGAGGGGCGATGCATTTGACGGACCATGGTCACGCAGCTGAGTTCTGCGGGTTCGCATTCTTACTCAACCACTGGGACCACATGAGGATGCATCGATACGGATGCCACCCTCAGGGCGACATTCTGGAAAAGGTGCGTGGACACGCAGTGCCTTTCTTTGGGGTTCTCGTGCATAGCTGCATTATGAACCAATTACAGTAATGACCACCGCTTTTGATGAATGGAGCCCACAAGCAGTGAAGTGAGATCAAACCTCCCTCGATAGAACCAGGCAGCAAACCCCGACTGACCGGAAGCAGCCTTTTCACGAACGAACCAGGCCGCCCCACGCCGTCACCCTGCGCCCATCGCAGGGCTTGACGGAGAGCAGCCTGCGACGGAGCGGACGCTCCAAAAAAAGCCTCACCTGCCAACTGCCACATGTCGGGGTGACAGGGGCACCCCGACTTCCTCCGTTCGGCACTGTGACTGCTGGTGTGCTATATGTCGCCTTCCGCGACTTGCAGGTGCGTCTCGACCGATCTGAAGCTCACACCTGGAGCACCGGCCGCCGCGGTGGCCATGGCTTGGTCACGCCCTCCGGCCAGGCCTGGCATTGGCAGCTCCACTCCGAAACGGGCATCTTGACCATTCACACGATGGCTCTGACATCTGCTGGGTACCAGGTAGATGGCCTCCGACCTAAGGCCGCGTCCTTGCTACTAGCTTCAAAGACATACTAGAGCTTCATTGTTACTTACATGGCGGGGCAAACACACACGATGGCTCTGACCCATGACCTTTGGTCATCGTGTGTGGGTTGTATGTTTCTTTTGCTAGAGGCAGTTGGGGTAGCTCATGGTGTGTCCAAGACGTAAGGAACACGAATTTGAGAGGAGGTCCATCGATTTGACGCCACGTAGGGCGTGGTCTTGAGATCTTTTGAGTCTCCTAACAAGCTCACAAGAATCCTTGATCTCTATAGCTCCCCTTGTTTTGAAGACACGAGTTGTTCGCAAGTGAACGTTTGGTCATTTGGTCAACACACTTGCGACTGCACCCCCACCTGCATGTACTATATATACACAAAGGAGGTCACGCCCATGGGCGGTGGTTCCAGCATCTTCTCAGAGTCTGTGGCAGTTGGGGAGGCCCTGATCAAAGACCCGAAACATGTTTGGGATAACCCAGCGCCAAAGCTGACGTTTGCTTTTTCTCCGAGCATCCTCTTGCTGCAACTCCTCTATACCACAACATCTCTCAGGAAGCAATGCCCGACTGTTCCGAAGATCCCACCAACTCCAAAACTCTCCTTCTTCCAGGTAGTTGGAAGTTGGGTGATTCCCAACCTGAAAGACTCGATGAAAGACTTTATAGATCAATATTGTAATTTGCGTGATTTTGATATTGTAGATCATCTTGATAGGCGCCTCAACACTTCACACCTCTCATGACCTGCCCATCATCCCATGTGTTGCCACATGCCATTCCCCATGATCCCGGCCTTCACCGGTCGCTTTGGAGGATGTTGGCACGTCACACCCTCCACCGACGCCTGCGTCATCGCGGTCACACCCTCCACCGAGGCCTTCGTCACTTCGGGAAGAGAAACAAGAACATGATGAGTGAGATATTGAACAAATTCGATAGTAAATAGATGTCGGGGTCTACCACTATAAAAACGACATGTCGGAAAAGTAAGTACATCCCCTCCGTCTTGGGAACCTGCTTCTGCCGGCTGGGGAGACCCAGAACTTCGAACGCCGGAAGGCGTTCTGTCGGTCCTGACCCAACGAACGCCGTTCAGATCGATACCCTAAGGCTCAGCCGGCTCTAACACTGCCCACACCTCCGAAGGTACCACTGGGCCCGACACGGGCGCCGAGATCAAAAGTCAATCACCTTATCAGGTTCGGTATGTGGATCCATAGGGAGGATAACCATTCATGCCCTGAGCGGAGAAGTCCCACCCCTGAAAGCTTTTGCCAGCAAGAAAGCCCTCAGGGTTCATGATTCGATGATCCAACATCCAAACCAAGAACGTTCACATTCTATCTTTTCCCACCAAATGCTCCCGACCTGACCTCGTTTAAAAAAGTTAAAAAAAACGCCCCGATCAAGTTCGAACAAAAAGCTGCACAAATCAAGTTCTCCACTTTTGGACAAAAACAACAAAACATGGAAAACCAAAAAAGACCGGTGGATGGACTCCGACCGAAGCTGTCGCCTCGAAGCTGTCGCCCTCGTCTCCGTCGGAACCCCAGGAGGACGGAGAGCCCTCTGAAAGACGCGGCTCAGGTCGGCGCGTGGAACGGTTCGGTGACATCGCCACCCAGGGGGTGATGGTGGTTTCTCATCGAAACTTGAATTTTGGGAACTGCAGAGAGGGCGATCATGAAAAAAGCAAGTTGCGTGTTCCGGTTTGAACTTGTAAGGTTGGGATCCAAGCGAACAAGTTTAGGGACACAAAATTCCGCAACAAAAGCCCAATCAAACAAACCCGCATGCAGGTGCTTATAACTTATACCAATAATGTTTTTGTTAGTTTGAATCTCACTTGCGCGACTCTTGGTTGCCAACGAACAATTTGGCCTACAGTTCTTACAATTGCTTTCTGTGTAAATCGTGCCTGTCCTGTCAATGCATGAGCCCCTCAACAAAACCTAGTTCTGCTTCCAGGAAGGTGACTCAGTCGTACAGGTGCATCACTTAAGAATAGTTGAACTATAGTATAGAACCGCTAGCTATGCAGCTATGCTGCTTAAATGACAAAATGGTTACTATCTGAATCCTAGCAGTATCTCCTCACCCATCTCTATGCCCATCAAGGCGGGCCCAACGCCTCAATGACCATCGCTGTGCCTGTGGGGAGTGGTTAATGGAGGAACTTGGCGAAGAATGCACAACCCTCATATATAGTATTGTCCCCTTCCCCTTGGACTTCATGCAATCTTCTGAATGAGGCCAAGAAGTTGCCAATGTCATTGATTTATGCGGATGTAAACAAATCATGCATGAAACCGCCAAGTATCAACTCGGAACCTCGACCTCCACCATGGAAGCCCTCGAAGGCTCATGAAAAAAAAAAACTCCCATGCCCTCATAACTCCACTCATGGCGGTGACATATATTTTCTGGCACTGCAAATGGATTGCAATACACACATGCACACATGTTCTAGATGAAGTAGGTAAAACAGCAGTTAGACTCAAGGATTCATCCAACACCAAGCCCTTCTCTCCCAACAAACCCTTCTCTCCCATCTTCTTCTCCCAACATCTAAGGAAGCTCCGATCAAAACACGCAGCGCCTGGGAAGGTTCGCAGGTGATTCAACGACTTCGGACTGTCCCAGCTTTCCTGGGACACAGCCGAGCGAGTAGAAAGCCGAGCGGTCGCTCGGGTGGCTCTTCATCTGCTGACAGCAAGACGAAACCATCCGGCGGAGCATCCGGATCCCCTCTTGCGACAGCGCCTCATCCTTCACCAACTGCGCAAGCGCTGATGTTATTGCACGTGAAGGACAAACCGCACACACACATACACCAAAACTCCCATGCAAAGTCTGAATATCTTTGACTGTTCATCCACTTCTTGATCTCACATCTGGGATCTTCTGGGATCCTATAGAAGATCATCGCGATGTTCTTTTCAACATGCTTTTAACCCTCCAACAGGATGACGTCCCCGCCCATCCCACCCCGCCCCAGCTCAGCTCGGCTCCACGGTGGTGCGGGAGATCCGCGAGCTGCGCGGCTCCACACGATAGACGGAGCGCGCGGGATCGCGAGGGCCCAGCTCGGTGTGGTCCGAGATCCAAGAGATGGGCATGTCCTGCGCCCAAGAGATGGAGGCGGAAGCAGGCAAGAGCATCAGAGCGGCCGGGATTTTGGGGTTTTGGGGTTTTTTGGCCAGAAAGATAAAAGAAGTTTGAAGGGAGGGAGTTTGAAGAGAGGTTCGTGTGGAGGTCCAAAAGGTCTAAAGGAAATGGTATGAGATAAAGGCAGTAATGGTTGGCAGGTTTTCAGATGTGGAGGTGTAATTCATATATTGATCTCGATTTGAATCTATTTCCTTCGGTGGTGAGGGATTTGGTATACATAGATGTCATGAACGACAGTTGTTTCTACCAGGGTGAGCCATGGAAAACCACTGACTGCGCTTCTCACGACCCGAAGTGGATAGAAGAAAACTTCGGGAAGGGGGCACGGCGTAGGACAAACATAAGCATAGACTATCTCAATTAGCAACCATAATTATTAGCAACCATAAGAGTTCCTTGCTTACTTCGGCCCACACCTTCAGAACATCCCTAAACCCTAAACGTATATCCTAAGTTCCCACCCTGTTTTCTTCCATCTCATCCAAAGGCCCTCCGAGACATGTTTACCTCCTTAGGACCTCGCGAGCCAGTCGAGCTCGCGCTCGCTCGCTTCACCCGAGACGCGGTCCGAGTCCATAGAGCTGCTGGGCTCCGAAGGACTCGACGAGCCCGATCTCGGTGGAGTGGAGGCTCGGCGGTGGGGACGTGGTCCATGGGGAGAAAGCTAAAAGCTTCAAACAGGTCTTGGACGTGGTCCACTGCAGCAGGCATAGGTCATCTTTTTATTGGTCTTTCGCGTTGGCCGAAGACGCTTGTCTGTGGCCGCCTGCATCTAATTCCTAATTGGCATGGGCTTTCGTGCCACAAAAGTCCATCCCCATCTCAGCTTCCAGGTTGAACTCTTCATTCAAAAATGTTCAAAACACGCTCCCAAAAGCTGGGTTGCGAATGGAGTTTTGGCGAGAATGTCTGCCGTGCTGAATTTATATACTGGTTTGAATTGGTTTGACATCTTCCTTCGCCACACAGGAAGCTCCCCATCACTCTCCATCCACTGGGCTGCCCGGACAGCGGCTGCGCTTTCCACGTGCACCGCAGTGGTGGCAGTTGGAGCAACGCCGCCGGCGCCACCGGAGCCACTGGTGTGGGCGGTGGCGCTGGGGGACCACTCATGGCGAGTGAGAAGGCAGCTGGGCAGCTGCAAAACGTGGCGAAACAGGAGTGATGGACTGTTGGCGGTTTTGCAACGTGGTGATTGTGCAATGAGTGTCCCCCAAAGAAATTCAATAAGAACCTGGGATGAAGGAGCCAAAGGAGTTTGGATGAGTTTGGGTTGACAATCCAGCTGCTCCACACGCACCTGGACATCTGGACTTAGCATCAAATCATTTGTTCAGAGCCAGGCGCAAACCATGAAAGCGTCTGAGACACTTTGTCTGAGCCCACATGAAAACGTCTTGTGTGAACTGTAACGATGGTCCGGTTTCCAAACTCTGGCTGAAACACAAGGATTTCTTGGTTGCTGCCGACATCAAGGGGCTTTGAGCTTCGCCGTAGACTCTTTGATGCAAATCGACTGAAGCCGAAGAAAAGTGCGCATGCGCAGGCGATCCACAAACGAAGCGGCAAGCTGCCTGAAGTTTCTGATAGGTAGCACCTCTCTCGATGTGACAATCAAGAGCAAGGGGCCGCTTTTTTGTTCCCTATTTATTCCCGATACATTTACATGGCTAATCAGCGTAATCATAGGGCAACGATTTGGAACACGGGAAACATTGTCGTGCTAATTCTGGCTATCTCCAAAAGCACTTCCACATCTCAAACTGCCCAAATTGTCCACTGCATTACACCCCAAGAGTTCCCAATTTGGAATGAAACCTATTGGTGAACCACCTCAGCTGCGAAGAAATGGTTTTCTCAACCCACAGTAATGCAATTCCAAAGCCTTGGGGTAGACTTGAGTTGATCCAAACATGTCTTGAATAGCGCTTGCTCCCGGAGTTGTTGCCAACTACTTTAAACAACCGGTATCCTCAACTCACCCACCACCAAAACATAAACCCAAACGTCCCACAGTGAGGGTTCATGATCCCCACACCCGCTGCCCAAGCTTGACTGACTCGACTGTTGAATCAAACCATGTGTTTCTTGATGTCAAAGCATATCTTGCTATGGGACATGCCCATCTCCAATTCGCTCTCCCATACCGGAGAAGAACAAAAACACGCAGAACATATACTTTTTGAAACATATATGGGTGTGTCGACCGAACCGCCGGCGTTCCAACCCCCCCGTTTCAGTAAGCTCCCAGCCCTTCCAGTTCCACCCAGCCCGGGCTGCGCACTTCAGCCGCAAGCAGGGATGCTTCCACTTCAAATCCTGCAGGTCACCCCTTTTCGGCTTCAGCCGACGGGCGAAGGAGGGCGTTCGGCGCTGGAATGTGGGTGGAGAGCCGAGCTCCATCGGAAAGAAGCCAAGAAGGATCGTTTGAAGGCCGCAAAGAGTTGCCAAGAATCTCTGGAACATCATCACCCATAAACGATCCAATTCCAAACAAAAAAACAAAGCAAAACCCCTTTGTTTCGTCACGCGAAGACGTCAACGTCTCCGTTTTCGGAGACCGATCTCTTGGGCTGTCCCTCGACTCGGTGGACCGCTCCTCAAAGGGATACTGCGACTTCACAGCTTCGATTTCGCGGCCGAAGCGTTCGGTGAGGCCTCCGAACGCTGAGCCGCTAGCTATAGGCGAGACGCGCGGCTGGCTCGAATCGATCGAGATGAGGCAAAGCGGAGAAGGCGAGAGGAGCGGAGGTGGTGAGGAACCAAGCATCTGTAGTTGTTCTTTTACCTCCAAATCAGGATCTTAAGTCAAATCAAGTCACATCTGATCAAATAGCTGACATGGAGTGTTTCGACGGGATTGAAAACTCGAAGGGATCGACGGCGGGTTTGATCCTTGCCGCCCATGACGAAGACGTCGCCGTCGAACATGTGCACGGAATTGACCAACGGTGGCTCGGGCCGTACTTTGGGGCGTCATCCGATTCCATTGGAGTACATCCTAAATTCCTGACCCACCAGAAGGGCCAACGTGATCATTTGGTCTTCTTGCCCAATGCTAACTGTTCTTATATAGTTCCTGCAATGCTAACTGTTCGTCTGAGTTCCTGCAGCACCTGTAAAACAACCAACTCATTTCTGGGCACCCATAGTTGTGGAGAAGTGGACCCTGGGTGGTGCCACAACTTCGTCAAACTCTTCTTCTGCATTGGCACATCTGGGCTCCGGAACTGGTTCTGGTTGTGGTTGTGGTAGTGGTGACTCTTAGCAGTAGTCGTCGTGGTGGGTGGTAGAAGTATAAGTCGAAGCAGCAATAGGAGTGAGGATTAGTAGCAGTAGAAGTAGAAGTAGAAGTAGCAGTAGCAGTAGCAGTAGTAGCAGTAGTAGTAGCAGCAGCAGAAGCAGCAGCAGCAGCAGCAGGAGTAGTAGTAGTAGTATTTAGTGGTAGTGGTAGTGGTAGTAGAAGTTGTTGTTGTTGTTGCTGCTCAGCTTCCATGAACCTCTTCAGGCGATGCATCCCTTTAGAACCCTTATCTGGACTGCGGCAAACTGCTATAGGGTCTTGCGAACCAGTTCGTCATCCAAGAAAGGGCCGGTGCTGCATCTCCTGCCTTTGAAGATGTGGTTGAACAAGCCATCCAACACTTCCAGCACCTGGCCGCCAGGCCAAGGGGAGCTGGAGTCTCGGCCGAGCCGCAAAGCACCGGTGGAGTCTCCCGGATGCTCTAAACAGGCTTCTTTACACCCATGCTCGGGGGTTCAAAGGCGTTCTTTACAGCCAGAGCAAGCTGGCCCCATGTTCTGCTTCAGGATCAGACCGCCCGATCCGCTCAGGTCCACGAGGACGGTCACTTAAAGGGGTCGTACCCCAGATGGGTGGTGATGTTGAGCTCACGAAAAGCCGGGCAGTAAGAGTAGCTGGGACGCAACAGAATCCCAACAGATCATGTTGTGCACCACTTCGGAGGGTCCAACCTGCTGGAGACACCATGACGTTGCACACCCTGAGGCTATCCCACCATCAAAAACACTTGTTGGCAACACCCATATCCACACTTGCATTGATCTGCATTGCCATTCTCCACCCTTCATTCCAACCAAAGGTGTCGGACAACCCCCCCCAAACAGACAGGATCCTATGCCTCCCATCATCCCAAGCTTCCACACCTTAGCAGGGTTTATCAAAAGTCAAGCTATACAACGGTCACGAGACGCCCCGGCCGGCGGGCCTCATGGTAATGGTCCTTGAAGGTCATCTCAATGTCCAGCCCGGTGAACTCCGTCATGTGCCTCGCATCGACGGCGTCCCCGTCGTCGACGCGCCCCATGGCGTCGGTCGAAGCTATGCCTCAGACCCGGTGCGCGCGTCGTCTACGCGCCTGTGTGTGAAGGACTTCTCAGAGCGAAAGATGGGACCCACTTCAAAGACCCGTGGCCTGGGATGGAGCGGAGGAAGACGGAATAATAATTGGTAGGCGGATCATGGGCAGCATCTATGTAGGTGGATGGGTAAATCTCTGTAGAATGAATGTAGGTGCATGGATAGTATGTCAGTACTTGATCTGTTGAATATCTGATTATTGTACTTTAATGATCAGCCATTTACATTCCTACTGCGGTTACTGGCCGCACCAAAACGATCCAAAACGCACGCACAAAAAAACAACAACAACCTCCGGTCTGGGCGCTCCCGGCATGTCGGTCATCAAGGCCATTTGTTTGTACAGCTGCGGCGACTGCGCCAGAAAGGCACTGCCCTGGTCGTGCTCGGATCCATCGACTGACCAATTCGGTTCTGAATCAGGTGGCACAAAGGTTTGCCTCATGAGATAAGGCCCCCCAAAAGCCGTTCCAAGGCGGCGTTCACGTGCACGCCATTCCCAGACGCTCCATGTATACCATGCCGATTTTTGTCGTGGTGGGTTTGGGGGGTAGTCCGAATGTCGGCAGTCCTATGGCAGTCCCACCCAAACACTACATGTATGCCATATATATACCTACATTGACCCCCAAAACCACCCCAACTGATCGGCAGTCCTATGGCAGTCCCATGGAGTGTTTGGGAACCAGTCGTTCGTGGAGGACTCACTCCGCCGACTCGATGGGACCGGCCGTAATTCAAACACCGTTGGCCGCGGAGGCCGAAGAGCTCGCCTCAAAATAGTCCACACGGAACACATCAGCCTCAGAACGAGAGAAGTGCGGCCGGATGGAGGTGTTCAAGAAGAGTGGTCGACGTCAGTGTGGACGCATTTGACGTCCCAGCCTGGAGTCCCAAACAATGACGTCCAATTTGAGTCGCGCATCGAGGGATCTCTACATATAAAGGTAGAAAAACGAGAAACAACATGTGTCTAATGGCATTCAATAGCAAACTAGGATGAATATTGATCTATACGAAACCTGGCAGGCAGGAGCATGCCCTGCAAAACCTGTCTCATGATGTATCAAAAGCTGCATCAAACCCTCTGTCATCCTCTGTCGATACACTCCATGTCCATCACTGAGGCACTCCTTTTTTGTCCAGTTCTGAAAGGCACACGCCCGAGCCCTAGGGCTCACTTGCGTTGATGCTGCCATGGTTTGCTCTTCTTGTAGCGGCTCCGGTCCCTGCACAGTGCAGTTCTGCACGTAGCTCTGAACCGATGACCCTGAACTTCTAACCGCAGCCCACTGCCAAGAGTCCGTGAATTTCGCTTCTATAATATCCGATGTTTTGGTCAAACACTTATTATCTAATTCAACATTGGGCAATATCCCATTACCAGTACCAGTGGATGATAGTTTGTAAAGGTTTTTCCCCAAACTAGTGATCATCTTTTACCATACAACACACCATGACATGACCAGCCTCCGGCCTCCGGCTCTTGTCTTTGGAGCCCTTGGCACCCCGTGAAGCCGCGTTCTTGCCACGCGCGTGGGCGCTAGCCACGCCATGCCTTGGTGATGAGGTAGGGTTTGAGATGGAGGTTGCCAACACTGAAATCCTCGGGTTTTTTGAAGGGTGATCATGAAATGTGTTTCTCACATGAACACCAAATACATACAGCATACCAAACCATTTTTGATTGGGGCCTTGAGATGAAAAAGAGTCGTATAACGACCTATGAGTCCTGTGATATCCTATGACTATGACGAACTTGATGGACCCCACTGGAGCAAGTCGAGCAGTGCAAAACAGGAAAGAACTGGAACGATCAGCGAGCATCAGCAACTACAAAAAGACCTGAAGTTCCACACGTGCACCCTCAATTGAGAGCAGGTTTGTAAGTGAAAAAGATAAACGCTGCGTGTCTTTTCTCCAACAATCTGGAGTCTGGTTCTGCTGTGTCGCATGTCCAGCATGTCCAGGGTTACTTGAGACAAAAACATGAGGCTGTCCTCGAAACATTCGAGGGAAAAAACAACATGAAAAACACATACAATATAACATAGATCTGCTAGGGAACACAAGCATGAGGTAGTTCAAAGCAGAAGTTAGCTGTTTCACAACTTCACGAGAAAAATCATAGGAATCCAGGAAGCCCCAACCAAAATCATGGTGCCAACAACGCGCGCACACACACACACACACACACTGCAACTCCCCAGAAAAACCTCAACGCCAAGAAAACGAGACGCTCCTTCGTCCCGTAGTGTGTTCACCCCCCTTCACCGGCGTGGCGTTTGGGCCGGTCGGCGCCATCCCAGCGAGGTCGAAGAACTCCGACTCCAGGATTTCCTTACCGTCACGAGTGACGCAACGCGCGCGACGAAGGCGCCGAGGATTCCGGAAAGGAAAAAACAGGAAGCGATGAGAATTGTGGTGCTCCTCCCAAATCCTATCAAAACCGCATGGTATTTCAACACATAGAATGGACCTGTCATACGTCAGAAGCCAGTGGCCAAAATCCTGCAAGTATAAATGCTGCTGTCATCTGTTGTCCATTCTGTGTTCACGCATCAACCAGTTTTGACACAAGGAGTCCCGGACATGTCCGCCCAACCGACAGAGGCCAAAACCGGAACCTGGAGTGTTAAGAAGGCCCACCAGGTGACTTCAAACCAGGTCGAAACATGAACATCATGAAACCCATTGGATCCGTGATCTTTCTGCCTGCGACATGGTGCGACCACCCCACTCGACCTTGTGCGACCATCACAAGTACCACTGTGGGTGTTGTTTCAATAACTCGCCTCTGAAGGGGAAACGGAACGCGCCAATGTGGGCTGGGTAAGTCCGAAGTCACCCGGGGTGACTTGGATGGTTTTGCCACATGAAGACAGCTGCAAAGTCTGTCACAAGACCCTGGTAAATCCTGGTACATCCAGGTGGCTAGACCGAACTATTTATGCCAAAGCCCCCTAAGTGGTCAAAACAAACAGTCTCGCCACGACCAAAGAGTCTGTAGCATTGGCACGAGTCAACGACTTTCGTCCAGAACCGAAGCCATCACCATGAACTGCTAGACAAGAAGGATAGGATAGTAAGCATCATAGCCCAGGGTTCTAGGACGATTTAGTTTGTGAGCCCACCCAACAAAAAGAACCATCCACCCAAAGAGAAACACATTCGGCACAACGTTCCCAAATTCCCATGCTTTCGCGAGAGCCCCAGTGGCATACTCTTCAAATGGCTTTCGCCCGGCATATCTTCCTGCTTCCTCTGCTTCAACCGCCGCCTTGCGCAAGGTCCAGCTGCGCCGCCGCTCGGGGCTGCTGAGCTCCTAGCGTCACGGGGCATTGAGTGGGAAAGTCAACGCCGAAAGAACAAAAAACTAACGAAACTACATTTAATTAACCTGGAGAATCAAAAGTACAAAAATAAGTGTACGTAGGATAGAACGCTCGTTTTACCAAAGAGCGCTCGAAGTAAAAAAGAACGCTCGTACCACAACAAAGCCCACCCAACCAATCCAAACCCATCGGGCCTGCCATCAGCACACATGTTTCCACACACGAGCTGGACAAGATTGGTCGATCTGTGAGCCGGGAGACTCAGTTGACTCAGTTGGCACAAGCTTTGCGCCACTCCACTCGGTAGTGAATTAGGCACTTGCGAATTGTTTGAATTGGTAACTCTATTCCGTGAACCTTTCTGCATACACGGGCCGTCTTGCCGATGTAATCTTCATCAGCCCAGCAACTTGTGCCTAAGTTCAACCGTGTTCCAAACAAACTGATTCGGATTGAATCGGAACATCAGCTGCTACCGGGTTGATGTGCATGTATACCGGCCAAGTGACAGTGTGGATTCAGAACCCACGCTGCAGATTGCTCCAGCTGATATTGCATTTGTAGCCTCCAGATGGATGCAGTGTACCATTTTACTGGGGAAGGGCCCACCACCATTTCACGGGATAGATCTAAGGTCTAAGGTTATAGGTTGAACTCGACTTGGTGCGGGCTGGGTGCAATATATGTTGGAACATATGCACCTTCGGGCGCAAGTACCACAGCGCCCATCCTTTGGATGCGCTGATTTGAGCGCAAGCTCCATATGCTTCCTTAGCTAGGCATGGATATAAGACCTGAACATCTCCGACTCTTACGGAACATCCCCATCCCCAGTGAAACAAAAGATGGAAAAGTGTGGAAGAGTTCAGCGGAGGGGCACAGAAATTGAACCCGCTCTGAACAGCTTCGGCCGCTTGCAAAGGTGTCAGCCACAGCTTTCCCTTGTAGATGATTCTCAGGAACTTGGAAATGCTGATGTGGCCCCATCGCACGATTCGAAACAAGTCTCGACAGCTTTCCTCAGCTAGCTTGCACCCCCCAACCAGACCAGCCAGGCAGTTTGGTTCTCAACACCATCCAAACCCAATAGAAAAGTTTTAGCTGATCCAACTAATTCTTGTGAGAATCGGGAATGCTTGCAAAATCGTAATTCATTTCCTCAAGAACTGCTTCCAGCCATCCACCGACCACACCCGCGTCCGATCCCTTGCCAAGTCCCCGTGGAAACTCTTGCAGCCTGAGCCGGTGAAGGCTGGTGGAGAAAAATGCATGGGACGTGGGCCCGGTTTTAGAACGTTTGGGCACAAAAACGAAAACACATGGCCAACTTTCGATCATGTAACGATGTAATCTTGAGTTCGCTTTTGTCGAATTCCCGGATTGTGGTGTACTTTTTGTGGGCTGCACACCACAAAGAGAAGGAGCCAAAAGCCCTGTCCAATTGTTCTTGGAAAGGGCCAGCACACCAATGTTGGCATCGCACCGCTACAAAGACCAGGGTCGAAGCTAAGTGGTCCTTTGACACCCCGGCTATGGCCAGGGTATGGGCCAGGTCCACCTTGATGAAATTAGGGTTGTCCCCCGCCAAATGAACGTCACGGAGGGGTGATTTTGCACCACGATGATATGGGCTTGGCGCAACACCATTGCATGGCCAGGATCACGTTTGGCCGGTTGAAGAAAGATCCCACCATTCCTTAACACAGCAGAGCTGGAATGTTACACTTGCAAATGGTTTTTGCCATTGGGACGACATCTATCAAAGACATGCGCCAATCAATCTTGCGTGCTGGGAATCATTGCTTGGGCAAATGTGGCACTTACGCCGAGAGCTGAACCCACTTTGTAGCCTATAGGCGCTCCGGATAAAGGGCCAATCGCCCTTAGTACCACAAAACTGCATGTAGAACTTTTGGGTGACGTCCCCGCACGTGACCTGCAAGGGGCATGTCAATACCATTTCCCAAACTCCCCAAAGATCCTATTAATGTGGTGTGGTGTTTCAATGGGGAGGGGCACCACAACCTGGAAAGCCTTTCATCGGACCGATTTTGTTTCACATGCCTCCACACCATTCTGACTTAGCTCGTTGAAATCATCGACCACCGCCCGCAACACCGCTTGCATGGTCGCACCGTTGGCTGCGTAATGCTGCGCAGGGATGACTGTCAGAAGCAGTCGCGTTGTGAAGGTATGCCTCGAGTGCGAGGTGCTGGCGCCCAGGAGGGATGGGAAGTATGCGAATCCTTCACTAGTATACGACAAGGTACTGGGTAGATGTGACACACTCCTCTCCCTTCCAACCGATGATAGGCTGGGCAGCTAGAACTAGTACAGGACGATGGCATTGGCCTCGACCCTCATCACCATGAAGGAAAAATGGAATGGTCAGTTCTGGATCATGAGGGCACACGTCGTCTATCCCCTTGTAGCGCTCCCAAAAATGCCGCAGCATACCCTTGATGGAA